GAATTTCCGGGGTTTTATCTGTTTTCTCTCAGATTCCCCTTTCCGATTGGTCTCCCGTCGTCACCTGATGACAATTCGAAACCTTTCGGGGGCACGGGAGAGGTCAAAATCGAAGTTTAATCCGATCTTCAATCGGAAATGGTTGACGGACTTACATTCTTCTATTGTTTAAAAGTTAGCGTCGCGTTTTCATAGAATAAAAATCTATTTCTAACTAATATATATATTTTTTCTAAAACAATTATTTTAACGCGAATTTTAGTGAGGGTTCGGACCTGTCCAGAGCCTCACATTTTTACTAAAATAAAAAAGGAAACATTTCACAAAATGGCATTAAATATGTTTAAAATAATGTTTTATTGCTGATAGCACTTTAATACTCTTAAATCATTATACTGTCTTTGAGAACAACTAATAGTCACATGATTAATTTTATGGGATATGTCAAAGCAACAAATGGGCAATTTGCCAAGGGGATGTCTCCCAGGAAAACCTATGGGGTGAAACTAGCCCCTATATATGTGAATAAAACAGGAAATCTCCATACACCTGCCTGGTGAGGAGCAAACCCATGACCAGTCTGTCTAGTGTTCAGTGATTTTATTCACATGGCCACTGATGGATATCAAATACATGAAGGATGGATGGATAAGGTGGATAAGCTATTAGCCTACTGCTTTGGAGTGTCTGAAATTAATCCAGACAGGTCAACAAATCCAAGGGTGTTTTTTGGGAGCGATCCATTCTGAATATATTAGGCACTATCTCTCACTCTGTTGTGAATCTCACTCCAGTCACTCTGTTGTGAATCTGGCTAAACTTACCATATGCTTGAAAAGAGATCTCATTGATGTCTGTAGGGCAAAGACAAAAATAAAAAAATATTTATATACAATTTACACTCAATGGCTGATGTAGGTTCAGAAATACAATAAAACAGACCAGATTCACAACAATTAATGCCAACTAAGGCATATAAAAGATTCCAATTTTTTCTCCAAAACTAATAACAATAGCCAAATTTATAGGTAATTGCCAGCATAATTTTTTTGGGTGCAAAGAATGGATTTTGAAGTAGCCAAATATGGCACCCTGGTCTTTAAGAAATAATGCCCAAGGCTATTGGTGGTCAGGAATGTGGAAAATCTGCCCGAATACAATAAAAAGGGTGTTTGTTGTAAGTTTTCTTATCAGCTTTTAACTAATAAGACCCTAAAACAGGACAGCTATGTAAGATGATTCAACAGTTAAAAAGCAGACACACAAATTTCTGAAAATGTACTGTACACCATAAAAAGATGTCCAAAATTCAAGGTAGAGAAGTGTCTGAGATGCAGAGTATAATATACAGTAAAAGCTATGGATTTGTCTTGTTCCATATGACTGTTTGAGGTATGGAAGTGCCCAAGATATAGAGGTGTCCAAACCGACAGGTTTTACCATATTAAAATATTGACTTCAGAAGCAGTTTTGATTCTATTAATATTTTGTAATAATTATATAATGTAATTAATTATATAATTACTAATATAATATATAATTATATAATATACTAATGACAAT